TTCTTGAGTACAACCACAATCCGATTAATCTCAAGGAACTTCTTTTACAAATGAATTGAACAAGTGTGTTTTTGTTTTCTTACAAAACTGTATATCACAACTGTGATAATTACACTATATATGCTTGGAATAAAATGACTTTGCTTAAGCTTTAAATATGCGTGGTTTGGATAGCTTAGCAAAATTGAGTGCGTACGTACGTGCTTCTTTTCACAAGCAGTCCTGTTTATATAGGCAAGCAAGGATACATTGTCCATAAAGCAGGTTTAATGATAATAATGCACTTTCCTTTTGTAGAAGATCTTTGTTTGAAGAATTCCGTTAGCATTTAATTCTGTCTTGAATAACCATTAACGCTTCAGAGTCTTCTCTGCTGTATCTTCTAATAATGCTTCAGAGTGTTGATGACTTGGTAAAGATGTCTTTGATCAGAGTCAGAGTGTATTTGTTTAGGCGCAGATTCTGGTCATCAAACTTTCAGTGTGGTCTGGTGGTTTCAGCGTGTACCATAGGCTGCTGATCTTCTGATGCTGATTTCATACTGATGCTGATTCCATCAGAACTTCTGTATATACAAAGCATAATTTTAAGGAGCATAATTGTTCTTTATATATATCTTTGAAATAATTTATTCTTTGTATTTTGTTATCATCAAAACTTTAATCAAGGGTTGTAGAATCAAACTATGTTCTAACAGGAGGATACTGTTCAATAGAATAGTCTTCATCATAATCTTGTCCAGAACCAAGGTTGTTATTCTCTTTATCTTTCACACTCTCGTCATCTTTCTCTTGGTTATCTTCTTCATTCAGGGGACCTCGAAATCGAGGGCCCTTCTTACTGGACCCTTGAATCTTCTGCCCATATTAAAAAAGACTATCGGATTTTTAGTCCTCTTCTTATTCCCTGTTATGATGAGGGTCTTCAACTCGTCTTGAACATTAGATAAGTCCAAGAACATCTATTGAAACTGGGCGTTCTGAGCTTGAAGGTCTTCCACAGTTTGCTCGAGTGCCATATTTTACTGAAATAAACAACAAGAAGATGAGAAAACTGCTTAGAAAGTACCTTTTATGTGATGATATGCATGATGTGCAAATGCAAGTGCAATGTTTTCAAGGACCTTTGTGGGATTTAAATTTTTTTAAACAAAAGGAAACAAAAGAAATTTTTAGTAACAAGCTTAAATTATAATTGCTTTCAATAAAAAGAGTTACAAAGAAGTAAAATGTTAATTCAAGTCTCCCATGGACGCTTCCTCTTTGTGTTGATATATGCATTAAGGCTTTGTTCTTCTTGGAGTCTTTTCGTCAGCTTCAGTACTTTCTTTTCACTAGAATAGAACTGAGCCTCAAAGGTATCTCTTTCTTCCTTGAGCTGAATCCAGGACTTTTGTAGTTCTTCAAAGTCAGTAGGCATATTAGGATGAAGAACGTTATAAGAAACATCCCCTTCAACAACGGGCTCTACGACCACTGGTAAGATATCAGGATATGGAATTTTAATATTCTGAGCAAGAGACCACACCCATATGAGATAAGGCTCTTGAGGAATGGAATTATTTCATCCCAAATTCTTGCTATCAATCTTGTTGACCGTGCCCTAAGCACGTATAAACCTTCGATGGTAATTTTGAGGATCATTCTCATAGTCGAACATAATACCCTGGATGAGCATATCATGAGGACCGTCCCTTCCAGCATAATAGAACTTACGCAGAGCTAGAGAAGGGATTTAAGTGATGCCCTCTCTTATACCAAGGAGTTGTACATTAGGGAATTCCCCATAGCGATCAATAATAGTGACATCTTCCTGAGATCGAGAACACCAATGGATATCTGCATGAGTGAGTGACATCAACCTTTGAGACCACCTTAAACCTTGTCCGTTCTTCATCACTGATCGGGGAAGGTGCGAAATAAACCACCTGGACAGTAGAGGTATGCAACACATAAGAGTTTCTCGCTTCTTCATAGTATGGGTGTGGAGGGAATGCAGGACATCTCCAAGCAAAGTAGGTACTAGATTATGAGTGAGATGAATTGGTTCGGATTAGGGAACAATACCAAACCATATATCAACAAAGCCAGAATATCCTCAAAAGCACGAAAATTCATGGCATCTAGAAACCACTAAGCCTTCTTGTGATCGGTGGAAATAGAACTGACTGTTTTGAAATGCTGGTTCGCGAAATGTCGCGGTAAGCAAGAGTCGCCACCGTCTTTTATGTTCTCCAACAAGGAAAGGACAAAAGCACAGCAAAATTCCTTTTCGAGATGTTTCTCGGGTTCGGGAGGTAGATTATAGAAAGGGAAGGTGTTAGCACCCTTTCTATCCGTGGTTATCCACGGGCTCTTAGGTACTTGCTCACTATGTTTTTAAAAGGTTTTGCTTTTCTTGTGTTTGTGGGTTTTGAAAAAGTTTAGTTTGAAAACTTCTAGGTAACTCTTGTATCAGTCCTCAAGAGTGTATGAAGTATTTGTTTGAAAACTTTTGTTTGAAAGTGTAGGTGCGAAAAATTGTTTTTGTTTTGAAAGAGCAAGTACCCAGGAGAAATCTACCTACTCAAAGGAATTAAGCTGTGTAAATGTCCTTTAGACAGTACTATCTCACTATTGAGAAATAGGTAGCACCGTCGTTGGAGTTTTCAGGTCAATTCGATTATAGGGACATGTGTGGTCACCAAAGCAATAGTAGGACGCCTTAGCGGTAACCCTAATGTCCTAGATCCTTTTTATCCGAGGCAACCGTTTCGAGGCAACTTGGATCTTTAGACAGGAGGGCGACCTCTAAAACACCCTATACTCAATGACCACGTCAAGGCAACCAAGTGAGGCGTACCCTAGGAGTGGCATGTGCGCGTGTGTCAGGTTTCATGTTTAAATTATCTTGGCACATGTATTATGGTGAGCTACGGGTTGATTTTATTTTTCACGCAAGTCTTGTCATGCATAGTTAACAGTTAATAATTGTGCGGAAAATAAATTGCGGAAGGTAAATCTACGCTATTACAAGGCGTCGGGTATTTACATCGCCAAAAACATAACCCTTGAAAAGATAAATTGCGAGAAATTAAAGAAAGTGATAAAAAGGGTCCTAATTATCTATTACATTCTCGGAACAGTTACATAAATATGAAAAAATATTATGCGCGAAAAGAAATTGAATCAGGACGTCCTTATGGTTTTGACCCTTTTTGAGAAAAGAATGAAATTTGGTCCTTTTTGCATTTAATTAAACCTAATTCTAATTAATTAAATAATTAAAAGAAAAAAAGTATTTTTTTATGTTTTTTAATGTTTTAATGAAAATAAAAATAAAAAGATTAACATTGTCAAAAGAGAAACCCTAATTCTATGTTGATTTTATTTATTGAGAAAAAGATTAAAGTTAACCTAATTTAAAAGACTAAATCAATTTTGTTAGTATTTATTTACAAAATAATAATTAATAGTGAAATTAATAAATAATAATTAATAGTGAAATTAATAAATAATAATAATAATAAAAATATTTACATTTTTTAGTTTTCTAAATTTATTGTGAAAAATTAATTTGTGATTTGATTAAATAATAATAATTATAATTAATAAACCAATTAAAAGAAATTAAAATATAAAAGAGAAAAAAAATAAGAAACAAAACCCAGGGGGTGTTGGGCCCAGATGGAGGTTTGTTCTGGAAATTGGTGGCCCATTAAGCTCAAGCCTCTTTGACTTTCTGGTTTGTCCACGCGTGCCTTGACTAGGGAGCACCATGGTCAACATCTCATGGCCATTGGATTTGTGGCTGTGGCCACTTGGCGCTTGGATGCCTGGGATGCATGATAGACTACTCTTTGAAGCCTGCATGAGATCACGTTAAGAAAAAAAAGAAACAATTATTTGGGGGACCTGGGATTCGAACCCAGGTCCCAACGTTCAATGCTTGCTCGCCCTGGCCACTGAGCCACTCGCTTCAATTGTCAATATGATAATAAGGGATTAATTTATTAGTAACCCAAAACATATGCCTGAAAAAAAATATAAACGCGCGATTTTTGAAAAGGGGGAATAGGAGGGAGACGCGTCAGCGTCTTCTTCGTTGGTCACTGGTTTTTTACCTGCGGATTTTTATCCGCAGGAAGCTCCGTAGGTTCTTCCTAAAATTGTCCCTAGGCTGCAAAAATTCCATCCAAGCCCATGGTTACGATCGTCCATGTCCCGTGATTCCATCCATGCTCATGACACTACAAGAAAATTGGCAGATTGCGACAGGTATTTTTGTAGATTACGACGGTTAAAACCGTCGCAATTTGCTTTCCACGACGGTTGCTTTACCGTCGCAGAAGTGTGTGTCCGCAACCTATTTCGCGACGGTTACAAAAACCGTCGTTCAAGTTTACGACGGGTTGATATCGTCGTGACTATCTTTTGAGTTTCTTTTAATTATTGGTGGCGACGGTTCGATAATGTCGTGAATATCTTTTGAAATTGATTAAATTGTTTATGGCGACAGTTCGATACCGTCATGACTTTTGTTGATTATTTTTAATTGTTGATTACGACGGTTCGGTACTGTCGCCATGACTTTTGTTTATGTCTTGATTTTTTTTTATTTTTCTATTATATATATTTTTTATTTAAATTATTATCTATGTAAAAAATTTTAAATATAGTTTTTTTTTGTGTTATTTTTTTCTTTAAATTATTTCTTCTTTAATATATTTATTTATAGTATTATTTTTTGTTTTATTTTCTATCACTTTGTAATATAGTAAAAATAATTTCAATAAAAAATATTTAACATCAAATAAGCATTATAATATCCAAAAAAATGTGTGTTCCATAATCATGTAAAATGCGAGTTCCATAATCATGTCAAGTAGTACAAAAAACCCAAAATATATCAATTCCTAATCTTATAATAATAAGTATCATTATGCCAAAAATACATGAGAAAGTTCACAATCTAATTATCTCGATCATAGCAAAGTCTAATTTGTCCCCCCTGAAGTTCCATTATCTCCAATACGGCTTGCCAAACTCATCCAAAGCCTCCTTGAGAGCACTTTCAGCCCTATCCCACGTTTCATCATCTCCAAGCTTATTCTCTGGCCTCTACTCAAGTATTTAACACAGGCAAGGCAAAATAAATAACTGAGTCATTAAATAGATTAAACCAATTACTAACAGCAGAGTCTACCAAGCTTATCATGTACTACTATATCATGTATTAGAAGAAAAGAAAATAACAAGAAAGCTAGTTCTTTGTATTGAGGCCATATTCCCAATTATTAACTGTTCCTACTAATGTTATTTATTCACAAACTTCATCATATTTCAAACCATAGAGAAGTGTTCCTAGTAATGTTATTTATTAAACATATAAACAAAACATGTACCATAGGAAGAGAAAGACTGGTAAGATACGATCAAAATGATCTATATCAGATGACGCTCTTAGAAGGAATAATTGCAACAAAGAAACAAATAATGAAATTATCAAATCAGAATTAACTTACATTGCAGACAAAACATATAGCGGCAGTTGTTTCCAAACTATTAAACAGATTTATCAGCATCTCTTTTGGAAGCCTTTTTGCCATTTCAACAGAATCTTTTCCAACAGGATCAGAATTGTATTCTTTAACAAGAAGTGGGTGATCACAAGCCTGACGGAGACGTAAAAGCATCAAAAGAATATTTGCATAGTTTTGATTCACTGTACGGCAGCTTGTATAGAGATCTCTGGAAGACTGATAAATCATCCATGTTCAATACCCCACTGTCAAAGCATAAAAAAAATGTAGTTCAGGCTACCTGTAGTACTGCAACCCGATTCTCCATGGAATGAGCATTGCTTCTCCAAACAACTTCTTGCTGACTTGTTGGCAAATGATGAACTCCCACTGGCATGAATTTCCTCATCAGAAAGTAATCCATGGTCATAGGTACAAGGCTCTCTCAAACTACAAGCTTTATCTAGCATTGCATGTCCCGGTTCACTTCCTGTAAGAACATGAGAATCAGCTGTGCTCTCTAACACGGGAGAAATTTTTTCAAGGTTGATCTTCTTCTGGCAGCCATCTTGTAGATCCAGAGACTGAAAGAGGAAAAAAGGGATTAAAAAGCCTGATTATAAGGAGGAAGTTACAATACATAAATACAATGGTGACACTAAATTGGAATTTATCTCTGACCTGTCTAGGAGTAGTAGGTGTATTTTGCAGAGTTCTACATTTATATGTTTCATCAGCATTAGTGTGAAAGCTCCAACCACGTAAATGTATAGAACGATGCAACTCATTCACAAATGAGGCCTCTAAAGAACTCAGATATAATTTATGCAGTTGATCTGTCCATCGTCTAGACTTGTCCTGGTACAAAATTTTGAATTAGGTATATCCTTGCCAACTAAATGAAATGAAAATAAAAGCTTCTAAATTCACAAGCAATCAAAAACAAGGTCCAAGGACGGACACAATTTATTAAGCAAAGACACGTGGAAGACAGGGTGTGTCTTTGCTGTGGCTGGTTGCTGCAGCTTGTAAGCCACCTCTCCAATTCTAGCTAGCCAGCAACATAAATGGACCATAATAACGTGGAGCGAACTTGGGACTGATGCGCACCTCTACTGACTGCTGAACACGCGGATGCAATTTCAGGAAAACCCAATCACGAATTTGAAATTACATCATTCCTGTGAGCATCAGCTAAAGGTTTCATTCTAACTTGAGCACGGTGCAAATGAAATTTCAACTGGCGTAAGTACTCATCAAGATCCATTAAATCCCTTCAATCAACAATATATAGGTTTTTTCAGTTCATACCGTTGAAAGTTTCAGTTCATATGTGAAACCAAATATTTGATAGACATAATCAATGAAGTCCAAGGCTTTTCTCACTTCATCTTTAACCTGCAAAATGAATTAATAGAATAATTTCAGCTTCAGCTTAAAAGATATCATAAAAATTATATTACATAAATTTACGTTAACACACCTGGGACTCCCTGCAGAAAATATGTGCATCATCCTGTCCAACACACAAAGTAAAGGGCATAAACAATACAGAACTAATAGTATAGAAAATAGAAGTTAAAGACAAGGTGATAATCAGTCAAAATAGCTTGCAATGTTCCTCCTATTGTAATTGTACCATACCTTTAGATAAATGAAGAATATCATCATGAGAAGAGAAAATTTGATAATTTATCTACACTAACTCACATCCACATAGGGAATATAAGAGTGGCTTCGCTTGGTGGTAGGGTGGAGGAGATAAGGACGGGAGTGAAAAGGAGGTTGGAGGTCTGATCCCCATCCAAACATAAAACTAACATTTTTTGTTTTAAAAAATACTACCATTCACACCATAAATACAACCCCACAATTGGGGTGCTCCAATATTTACAATAGAAGCAACTATAAATGTAATCAAGATAAAACAAAGAAAACTGGTCCCTTCCACAGTTCCAACAAAGATTTACCTGCTGAAATCTCCTAACACGTGTTAATCCACTTAGGGCACCACTGGCCTCATTTCGATGCAAAACCCCAAAATCAGCAAAACGAAGAGGAAGTTCTGCAAAACCATAACAGTGTTGTGAGATGATATTTTATACAAAAAACATCAGCTCTACCTAAAAATATCCAAACAAAAATGGAAACTAAATTATCTCTACCTCCCATCGCACCAAAATTATAATTTTTAGTCTATTTCCAGTTCAATTTTTGGACATGATTGAAAAATTCTTGCTCTTTATCCCAAAATGATTCTATATGGAAGAATACAGCTTATTAATAAACCAATTCCTTGAGCTATATGTGAATATGTAAGTAAGAGGGAAGATGAGACCATGTAAAATAACACTGGACAGGTATTACTCAATTTAGGCATATTCAAATGAAAATGTTAATCCATTAACCAAGTAGCTCAAACAGATGCATTATCCTGATTTCAACAATATATTCTGGACTAGCTCAGCCACCATAAGTATAGAAATAAAAGATGTTATTTAAAAACATATGTTTATGCAAATGAAAATTACCTCTATATGAACGAACTCTGTGTTTAAACATCAAGCAGTGTCATGGGCAATTCATTGGTTTCAATCCAAATTCTTGTTTGTCAACCTAAAACGCACAATATTTATAATTTGGATAGATAAATTAATTGTGTTCAAAATAATCAACCTATTATGAAGGTTTTGTAGAAAAATTCTTCAAAAAAAATTATCATACTAATACTTCTCCATTTCGCTCTTAAAAACTATCTACAAACAGCGGCATATTTAATCTAACAATCAAATCAAACCTTAAAACAACAAATTAGAAAACCTAAAAAATCATAAAAAGAAATAAAACCCTAAAACAACAAATTAGAAAACCTAACATCAATTCAATATATTCAAACTCAAAATCAATCATCACAAAGAGCTCAACCATAAAATTACCTAGAAAACACCCTTATCAACCTTGCATTTTAAAATGCCATTGACCTTTAAGGCATAGAACAAATCCTTGAGAGAGGACGACGACCCGAGATTTTCCACTACCTTCCGACAAGTGGTTATGCTCACATCAGGCTTATTCTCAAGCGCAAGAATCTCAAATACTCTTAGAGCATCACAGGCTTCTTCTAAACTGATAAGATAACAAGAACAAAAATGAATTTTCCTACTCAGCCATCTAACATATAATTTCAACATACTACTGCAAACCTAAAATATTAATTGACAACAAAACTTATCTAAATAACTAGTGTTTGATAACAATTGAACATGATATAATTAATTAATATTTGATTAATTAAGGGTTGAATTGACCTTGAAGAGGAACCATCGAAGAGTTGTAAAGCAGCGGAACGGTGAGAATCGGAAATCGGACTTGGATTCGTGACGGCGTTGCAGATCGAAATAGTGAAAAACAGTATGAGAAATTTGGCTAGGTTTATGGCCATTTCTGCAGCTATGAATCTATGAATGCAAATCGCATTTACGATAGGTTACGGATTTGAGAAATGAGATCGAGAATTACGAGATACGCGAAGAAACGACTTGTGCGAGTGAGTCTGTGTGTTTTTGGTGCAACTGAACTAGTATCATCACTGGCTCTTGATCATCTAGCCATCTTTTCAAACAACGAATCGCCGCCAGTCGCTGCCGTCACGGTGCTTCCGGATTCTCTGAACGCAGGAGTAGAAAGTGAATTGATGTTTTAAGAGCTTTTTAACTTTATTACGGCGACGGGTGTTTTACCATCGTGCCCATGAGAATTTTTAAAGGTTTTGGGTGCGACAGTTGTTTTACCGTCGTGAAATGAATTTTAGGACGGATAATTTTACCGTCGTGAAAGGTTTAAGGGTGCGACGGGTGCTTTACCGTCGTGATATGCCTTTTAGGACGGTTAATTTTACCGTCGTGACTAGTTGTTGGTGAAAAATCAATGTTAAAAGTGTTAAATGGGGGCCGACGGTTGTTTTACCGTCGTAATAATAATATTATGATGGTTAAATATACCGTCGCAAAATAAATATTAGGGACGGTTGGTGTCAACTGTCGTAAACACTGTCTCTATATGTCAATTACGACAGTCATCACATAACTGTCGCAATTTTTGTGTCGTTAAACACTAATTTTCTTGTAGTGTGATTTGTTCTAATTTCACCTGGAAATAAAAAACCTAAAACGCAAGAACGTGAACCCTAGAATCAGGCATCATGATTCAGGGCATAAAAACAAAATTGGCTATTGCAGTTATGTTAGAAATCAAGCAATGAATATGAATATGCTAACACCTTGAAGAAAAAATGCAAGAATTGAGAGTATAGGTTTCGTGTTCAGGGGCCAGTTTGTGAGAACTTACAGCGCTGTTTAGGGGGTCTTTGGACATGGTAATGATCGCCTTAGCTTCAGTGGATCGCAAGGAAGAAGGTCACGTGCTCCTTTTTGTCTGAAAACGCTTGCAACACCGTTCTTGATCTCACACTTTTTCAAGAACTTTGCAATTTTCTTTGGCCGTTTTTAGCAATCCTTAGGTCGTGTGCTTTGTTGGTACTGCTTGCTTATGTATATGAGAACAAAATTAGGTCAAAAGTTGGGCCTTAATCCATGTATATGGGAAAATTAGATTTACACTTTCCTCCATTGACAAACTTTCCAAATTTGAATCAAATCTAAGATTTTGTGCAAAAAAAGCCAATACACGAATTCATTAGTTGGCATGTGATATATGAAAGCTGTACAATCCCCCAAGATACTATTCCATTGATTTTTAGATTTTATTTGAATTATTATAGATTTAAAATGAATTAAATCAATAAAAATGAAATAAAATAGAAAAATAAATGTTTGATCCTGAAATTAAGCATGGGACACGTGTGTGGCATGACAAGGCTGAATCAAGTGGAAGAAAGTGGGCCCTTTTGTCAAAAATTGAAGTTTTAAGGATAGTTGACTTTTGCAAATTCATAAAAATTTCCCAACTTCTCCAATGCATATATTGCTCAATTTTGATCATATGAACATGTTCTTAGACATTTTGGAAAGGTCTTGAAGTCCTCTAACCAATGCCTTTGGTCCCATGTCATTTGGATTCACCAATATCAAGTTATGGCCTTTGACTTAAAGTGCATGTTTGTTGACTTTTGAAATTGACCTATAATGTAGAAATTGATAACTTTTTGTGGGAGCATTTCTTGGACTTGGAATGTGAATATGGTTTGTAGGAAATGTCATCCCCTTCAAAATGAGCATTGGATGGGATTTTTCTGATGAACCATGAAAAAGTTATGCCCTGGTCAAGATACAGTTGACTTTTCTACTGTCCAAAAATAGTAACTCTTGCATCCTTGATGATTTTTGAGCCATGCTTGTGGAATCATGATCAAGACTTGATCAAATGATGATTTTGAGCTCAAAATAAGATGTTGACCAAAAAATTCTGACTTTTGACTGCAAAATGACCATTTTGCCCCTGCAGTTGACTGTAGAGCAAATAAGGCTTTTGACTGTGCAATTTGGCATTGTGAGCCTTGAGGCTTGGCATGTAGATGCTTGACAATGTATATAGTCCTATGGGACTTGATTGGACCATTGAAAATCCCAAATTCATTGAAGGAACCAAAACCCTAATTTTGACTGGCTTAGGAGGCATTTGGACTGTGCAACCCTTGAGAAATCTTGAACCATTTGAAGATGATTCTTGACAAACCATGAAGAATATGGGAGGGCAAATTTTAGGGTACAACAGTTGCCCCTGTTCAATCTTCTTAAACCCGAGGATGTAGATTGGCTTGCGTGCCTTTCGTGATCCGAAGGTTGAAGATGATTGAACACTAGAGTGCCCAGAAATTTGCACTCGCATAGTGGAGTATCAACAATGTGATGTCGGGAATGGGCTTACAGATGCCATTTGGAGAGATGGTGGATATGAGGATGGGCTTATAGATGCCATCTGGAGGTTTGACAGAATCTTGTCGGGAATGGGCTTATGGATGCCATTTGTAATTGAGTGTCGATCGCGTAAGAGATTCCTTAGCGAGAACTTGCATACTTGAGAAAGAAAGATGGTTTCCTGGCTTGCTACAGGTATTGATCTTCAAACTCTTCATGCAGATACTTTCCTAGCTAGATACAGGTGTAGATCTACAATCAGTCGCTCACAGATATGCCCTGGCTAGATTCAGGTATCGAATCTGGAACTCAAAAAGGTTGGTCGAGATAGCTTTCCTGGCTGGATACAGGTATAGACCTCTGACCTGAGAATGAAAGATGACTTCGTGGCTAGATACAGGTATTGATCTTCAAACTCTTCATGCAGATACTTTCCTGGCTAGATACATGTATAGATCTACAATCAATCGCTCACAGATATGCCATGGCTAGATACAGGTATCGAATCTGGAACTTCAAAAAGGGTTGGTAGAGATAGCTTTCCTGGCTGGATACATGTGTAGACCTCTGACCAGAGAATGAAAGATGATTTCCTGGCCTGTTACAGGTGTTGATCTTCAATCTCTTCATGCAGATACTTTCCTGGCTAGATACAGGTATAGACCTACAATCAATCGCTCACAGATATGCCCTGGCTAGATACAGGTATCGAATCTGGAACAAAAGGTTGGTCGAGATAGCTTTCCTGGCTGGATACAGGTGTAGACCTCTGACCCGAGAATGAAAGATAACTTCCTGGCTAGATACAGGTATTGATCTTCAATCTCCTCATGCAGATACTTTCCTGGCTAGATACAGGTGTAGATCTACAATCAGTCGCTCACAGATATGCCCTGGCTAGATACAGGTATCGAATCTGGAACTTCAAAAGGTTGGTCGAGATAGCTTTCCTGGATGGATACAAGTGTAGACCTCTGACCCGAGAATGAAATATGATTTCCTGGTCTGTTACAGGTGTTGATCTTCAATCTCTTTATGCAGATACTTTCCTGGCTAGATACAGGTATAAATCTACAATCAATCTCTCACAGATATGCCCTGGCTAGATACAGGTATCGAATCTGGAACTCAAGAAGGTTGGTAGAGATAGCTCTCCTGGCTGGATACAAGTGTAGACCTCTGACCTGAGAATGAAAGATGACTTCCTGGCTAGATACATGTATTGATCTTCAATCTCTTCATGAAGATACTTTCCTGGCTAGATACAGGTGTAGATCTACAATCAATCGCTCACAGATATTCCCTGGCTAGATACAGGTATCGAATTTGGAACTTCAAAAGTTGATGGTAATATCTTTTGATTGACCTTTTCCTGAAAAGGCAAAACATTAGTTGCATGCAATGTCATGATGTATGAAATGCATGATGTCATGATGTTTTCAGGAATAAATGAGATTGTGTCGTATGCACTTTATCATGTATATGAATAGGAGGTATGAGATGTAATATGTTTATGAATGTATTTTCGTCTGGGAAAATGAATCCTTGACGAATGCCGGGAGTTTGTTAAATCCTGGGCTGATGTTGAAGAGTAGAGTTCTTCGTTTCCGCTAGGGATGATCAACGAAGATGATTGCAAGAATAAGCCTGTAGGAGAAGATGACTTCGTTGGGGGATAAACTTGTT